TGAGAATCCAATTTCATTTCAATAAAGATATTCAACCAAACCCTGATTAAATTTATCACCCCCTTCAGCTGATTTCAAAACCCAATAAAATGTTTTCTCTTCATCCTTAGTGTCCCAATCCCATCTTTATAACATAGTCCAAGATTATTCTGTGCAGTAATATTTCCACCTTCAGCTGATTTCAAGTAAAATTGAAAGCATTCTTTTGATCTTTTGTTGTTCCAATTCCATGTTGATAACAATACCAAGACTATTCTGTCCACTACTATTTGTAAAATTGAAAGCATTCTTTTGAGCTTTTGTTGTTCCAATCCCATGTTGATAACAATATCCAAGATTATATTGTGCAATAATATTTCCCCCTTCAGCTGAATTCAAGTACCACTGAAATGCTTCTCTTCATCTTTGTTTGTTCCAATCCCATATTGATAACAATAACCAAGACTATTCTGTCCACTACTATTTCCACCTTCGGCTGATTTGAAAAACCATTGAAATGCTTTCTCTTCATCTTTTGATGTTCCAAAACCATTTCTTTAAAAATAACCCAGACTATTCTGTACATGACTATTCCCTCCTTCAACTGATTTCAAGTACCATTGGAATGCTTTCGCTTTGTCTTCCATGCTGACAACAATGACTTAGGCTATATTGTCCATCACTATCTTCCCCTTCGGCTGATTTCAAAATCAACTGAAATAATTTTTCTTGTTCTATATCTTTAGAGGTTTTGCTTCCATTATTTTGTTTATTTTCCATTTCTATTGAGATCTTTTTTTTTGAGGAATAAAAATTCATTAAAATGAAATACGTTAAACTTAATTTATTACTAAGATATAATTCAAATAGGATTTATAAAGTATAAACTTATACAATAAATAGATAAAATAGTAAATTAAAATTCGTTGATAATTTTTCAAATTAGTGATATTTTTTTATTGTATGATGCATTATCAAACATTAAGAAATCCATAATAGATTTCTGGAATTAATTATTTGGATGATAAAAGATTCTTTTGGTACTGTATATCAATTTGTTCCTATGACGATCACTATTTCCTTTTATTTCCACTTTTTTATTTTCGTACGATGTGGTATTTTTGTTATTTTAACTCGGTGTAACTTTAATAATTACCATAAAGAAAATCTTTTGAAGTAAACTTTTTTTAAAACTTTCCATTGAAACTTTTGAAAGTACGCAAATAATATTTAATTTAATCTAAAATGGAATAGGCGCCAACCTTCATCCGGAGAAATTAAGAAAAAGATTCCCATAAATTTGAATTAATTTTACGCTGAACACGATTTCTGTAATTTGAAGGACATGCCGGAGTAACGAGATGGTTTTGCTATAATCGATGGATTTTCCGAGTACTCTCACACTATGCTGAAAGCTACGTTTATTAAGTTGAAGATTATGGAAACACATATCAAATTATATTTATATGGAGCCAAATAATTTTAAGGTGAATTTGTCTCGAAATCTATAATTCTAATAATGAATATATCTCTAGCATTTTTAATTTTTCGCGTCGCGTAAGGACATAAATTTAGATCTTTCACTATGACATATGGTGTGATGTAGTTGATGAAAAGGGCTGATCAATCAGTTTTATGTAACACGTGAAAACGAACCAATAAATAATTTCACATGTGTACACTGAAAATAATCCATAAATTTACTGTGAGTTTAACGAAAGAAATGAACGAATAGCAATATTTAAAATATTATTAAAAATACTAATGTTTTAATATAAATTATTGATTTTTAAAGTGAAATATTCCCTTACAGTAATTAAATGATAATTTATTATAATAATATATTAAGTTTATTCAATCTGTAGATTTAAAACCTATAATCATAAGCTCATATAATATATTTAATCAATATATACATATATATATATAATCTTCATTGCTCACATTCCTTCTTATTTATTCATATTTGTATCGCATTAATATAATAAATGATTCAAATATTATAACTATTTACACTCCCGAATCAAAAGTTTAGGACAACTGAGAAATTATAAAAAATCGTGATTATTTTGTCAACCAATTACAGTATTTTATTGCGATTTTTTTTATTTAATAATATTTGTCCGTACTAATACATACATTTAATAACATAAGTAATATAGACTATTTTTTTGGTGATTTTTTAATAAAATTTAATTTATTTTTTTTTAAAAAAAAACTTTTATATAACAAAAAATCTAATTTTTTTTATTATTGAAAATTCACATTATTTACAACAAACAAAAAAAAATTAACTCCATATTTTTCAAAGTGACTAAATTAAAAATTATGAAAATTTAATATAAAAATAATTTTTTTAAAAAAAAATCATAATTTAAATTATATTTTATTTTATAAAAATCTAATAAAAATTAGCTAATATCTAGTAGGATAACCATGAGATTTTATTACTGCTTCACTCTGTTTCCTATACTTTTTACTAATCTTTGAAAAGATCACTTTCCATTTGCGACCAACATTCCTTTAAAAACAATTCCAATTCTCTCAAATTTTTAGGATTTTTTTTTTTCTCAAACACGACATTTAAGTTCATCCCATAGGTGTTCAATTGGGTTTAGGTCTGGTGACTGTACTGGCCACAGGAGAAGAGAAATTTCTATTTGTTGTAAAAAATTTTGTGTTGCGGCACTAGTGTGAGTTGGTGAAAAAAATACTCTCCATTTTCCTCTTCAAATTCTCTATTACTATTAATCCACTCATCAATTCTGGTTAAAGGGCCTAATCTATATCAAGAAAAACATCCTCACATCATGATACCTCCGTCACCATGTTTTACAGTTAAAACAAGGCAATCATTGTCATATTTTTCTTTTGGAAGCCAGCTATACATGAATTTTGCAATCATCCCTAAATAATGTAAATCGTGATTCATCACTCCAAATCACTTTTTTTCCAATCAATAATTATTCACGATTGTCTCTCATGCATCCAATTTAAACAGATTATCCTATTAGTTTCACTAATATTGGGTTTTCTAAGAGCTGTTCGACTATAAGACCCATTTTATATAAGTATGCTTAAGAGTGTTTTTTCTTACTTCATTTCCTGTGCATTCATTAAAGTTTTCTTATCCAATTTTTGGAAACAATGATCTTGAGATATATTCTGTTAATTTTTTGATCGTCCACTTCCGAAAGCAACAGAAATATTTCCATTTTTACAATATTTAGATATAATATTATGAATGGTAGTCTTTCCATATCCGGTTTTTTCAAAATAGCTTGTTCTGAGTCATCAGCAAAATAGAAACTGATAACTTTGCCTCAGTTAACTTCAGGTATCACAAATATATTTTTTATTTATTTATTTTTAAGTCACACAATGATATATTTATATTTTTATGTAAATCGCAGGGGTGGTCATTAAACTTATGAGACATGAAAAATTAAAGATTAAAATTTATAAATGATTAGACAATATTATTAATAAATATGTAAAGTTCTTTATATTAATATAAAAACATATCATTATTTTTGCAGAAATGTTTCTTTCATTTCCCATTCTTAATGTATTTATCTCTTTATATTTGATTTTTAATTTAATATAAAAATAAATTCACCAAAAACAGGTTACTTTTCATTTACTCCATTCAGAAATTTGGAACCTCTATATTACCAATTTTAGGCTCATGGGCAACCCATGGGAAAATATAAACAAGGTAGTAAAGCAAGAATACAAATAACGTCTAGAGTTAAATTCACTATCCAATATAAACACACATGATTATTTTATTAATAATCACATAAATCACATGCATCCAATCGACAATCATATAAAATACAATAAATGATTCTGTAAATAATCACACATTTTTTAATATTAAATCGAACAAATCAGCTCATATGAGATAATGTATGTCTAATAATAAATTTGAATATTTATGAATCTATTTTAAAGTATTAATGTTATTAATTCATAATGATTGTTTTATTATAAATTTTACTTATTGCTCTATAAATAGTAGTGAAACAGGTGAACAAGGTAATCACGAAGGTGAAGAAGAAAGATTATTGAAATTGAAAAGAAGCGAAAATGTAATAGAATTGTATATAAGATTAAAACTTATTATTAGTATTTTTTATACTAATTAAATTTTTATTAATGAAATTTTATTGAATTATAATGCATAACCTACAAATATAGAAGGATTAAACAAATCCTTCAATGATACTACTAGCATTAATTAAAGAGCATGTTAAGAAAATTTCAAAATTACATATACTGTACATATATGTTGAATTACTTTTATTTTTTATTTTTATTATTTATTTATTTTTATTTTTTATTTTTTTTTATTTTTTTATTTTTCATTTTTTTATGTTTATTTATTTTTTTATTTTCATTTTTTTATTTTTATTTTCTTATTTTTTATTTTTAAACATTTTTATAAAATTTATTGTTATAACTATATCGAGTGGTTCTTTTCATTGTCAAATCTGCACGTCTGTGACAAACAAATAAAAGATGGTATCAGCAAAAAGATGACGGATTCATTGAGTATTGTCAAGCATATAAAATTCAAAAACGAATATTAAGGACTTTGAAGAAGATTATTATCTCAATCCACGTGTTACTGAGCGGAGCGAAAAATGTGATTATAAATTATACAAGTCACATCAAATTTAATTTAATTTTTTTTTTTAACCAACGGAGCATTACTCCAGGATGTTTATTATATTGAAAAACAAATTTACAATCAATAAAACAATTAACTAATGCAAGTCACGTAAAATGCAAACAAATTTTTTTAGTATACTACTAAGTCTTAAAAACGTTAATAATAAAAGTTATTCCCCATAATAAAAATGTTAAACTTTCCACTAATATTTTATATAGATACGATTAATTTTTTTATTGAGATAATTGAAAATAAAAGAAATTTTTTACATTGACAAAAAAAAAATAGTTAATATATAAGACTTTATGATTGTTCAAAATAGATCTATAAAAATATTTAGATCCTATTCAATATTTCCCTTCGCCACAAGTCGTAAACATTCGACCATCCCTTTTCCAAATCTTTCAACCTTTCCATCATCCAAGAATACACCTTTTTGATATATAATACTAAAATATAATTTCTTATCATAACAAACACTAGTTACTAGAACTGTAGGTCCATTTTTATATAGGGATTGTGTAAATATCATATCAACTATCTTACAATTATCTGAGGGGTTAGGGATATCTGAAGGAAATTTACCTAAATTTGATAATAATAATGAATAATCTCTCCCTTTATGTGATGTTTCCGACTTATTCTTAAAAAAATCTTCCCATGAATCATTATCTTTTCCCAGATAATTTAAAAGCCCGATTTCCTTTATTGTAGTTGGCACTGTTTTTAATAATTTTGATCTATAATCGGAACATAATTTCCAAAAATTTTGTAAATCTATATTAAAAAAATCCGTATTGACAACTTTAGGAAATTTATAATCGTATACAAATGTCGAGATAAAATTTCCTATATCCATCCAATCAATTTTTGGTTTTGCATATGGTCGAAGAGATATTGGTGTTAATGTTCTAAAAAAATCACAATCACATCCACTTAAATTATGATGGGCTGAAAAAATCATTGCAGTATGCAACACCGAATTAATTGTTTCTTTCTTTTCTTTCACGACCTTCTTTAATTTTTCAAATTCTTCAGGCGCCAATGACAAAATCTTAACACTAGTACGAAAATCCTGGGCATCTTTGAAATGTACATCTCCTGCACAATATTTTCCATATA